TTGCTTGTTTCCTTCATTACTATCTTCTTTTGTACTTATTTGATTTTTTTATAGTGAAATTATTCAAATCCTTTCATTTCCTTTTGTGTATATTGTACAACTATTTTATTTGTGTTTACTATGGGGATTACATTGAACATCCTAAACTTGTAATACTAATTTGAATTTATAGCAGTTTAACTTCAATAGCATACAAAATTCTCCTTTACACTGCTCTTCCTACCTCTTGCAGTTGTTGTTGTCACAAAATTACATCTTTACAATTTGTGTGCCCAAAAACATAAACTAAAAATTCTTTCAAATGCAGTAACCTCTTAAGTTATGTATAAAAAAAGATTTGGAGTTACAAACCAAAGTTCTGGCAATAGAAGCTTTTACACTAATTTTTTTTCTTTAATCATATTGGCCTCAAATCATGTAGAAAACAAAAAGTATAGTTAGATACCATTGTTACAGTAATATGAGCTTCTAATTTCCCAAGTTAATTATTTTTAAGGTGTGTATTTCTCTATATGGCTTTGAGTTACTGTCTAATGTCCTTTCTTTTTACATTGCCCGAACTTCCTTGAACATTTCTTGCAGGGCAGGTCTAGTGGTCACAGACTCCCTCGACTTTGATTTATCTGGGAATGTCCTGATTCCTCCCTAACTTTGAAGGACAGTTTTGCTGCATATAGGGTTTTTTGTTGAAAGTTTTTTCTCTTAGCATTTTGAATACATCAGCTCACTAACTTCTGGACTTCAAAGTTTCTGGTGAGAAATCTTCTGATGAATTTTACTGAGAATCCACTTGTATGTGATGATTTGCTTCCCCTTGCTGCTTTTAGGATTTTTTTCTTTGTCTTCTGAAAGTTTGACTATATTATGTCTTGATGTGAGTCTCTTTACTTGGAGGTTTTGAGCTTCTTGGATGTTTATAGTCACGTCTTCAACTTTGTGGAGTTTTCAGCCCTTATTTATTCAAATATTCTCTCTGCCTCTTTCTCTCTCTCTCGTTCTTTTAAGTCTCACAATGTGAATATTGGTCTACTTGATGGTGTCCTGCAGGTCCCTTAGGCTCTGTTTGCTTTTCCTCAATCTTTTCTGTTCTCATCCTGGATCATTTCTATTGTCCTATCTTTGACTTCACTGATTCTTTCAATTCTGCCTGCTCAGCTTTGCCTTTGAATCACTCTAGTGAATTTGTCTTTTTAGCTCTAGGATTTCTTTGTGGTATCTTTTAAGGTTTTCTATCTCTATTTGGTATTTCCTTTTTCTTCATGCATCATTTTTTAAATTTTTTTTCCACACCTACCCTTACTTCTCTGAGCATCTTTAAGACAATTCTTTTAAAGTCTCTAATATAACTTCCAGAAGTCTTTTTGAGGGAAGGTTTCAATTTTTTTTTCTTCCAATGGGCCATACTTTCCTATATGTATGCCTTGTGATTATTCTTGTTGTTGAATGCTAGACATTTGAATTTAATAATATGGTAACTAGAAATCAGATTCTCTTCCTCAAGGATTGCTGTTTTTTTATCTTTGTTTTTTGATATGTTGTCTGTTCTGAGGATCAGTGTGAGGTAGAAACTTAATGTCTTAATTCTTTTCTGAGCCTTTTGTTGGGCATGTGCAGTCACTTTTTTATTTTCCCCTCATAGGCAGATGTTCTTGAACATCCTAGTTTTTAATGTCTGGACCTGAAGGTGGAAAGCAGAAAACAGTATGGGGAAAAGAGCATCAGCCCTTTAAATCCTTTGAAAGTACCTTCAGCTAGAGGAGGAGGGGCTTGCAACAGTTTAGGTAGTGGGGCAACTACCTACCCTTTGTCTGTTTGTGCCTTTGTGATCAGAAGCAGCAGTGACCATAGCACCAACCCCCTTATTTGGAGGACAGGGTCCTTTTTGCCCACCCTAGCTTCCATAAAATGTGTGCAATCTGCTCCAGGAATAAGCACACTGGCTAGGGGTGGGGAATGGGTAGCTGCTGCTGTGCTGAAAGCTGAAATTGACCAAAGTTAACCTCAATTTACTATCCAAGTTTTCCTTTGGAAACAAGCCTTCAGCAGACTCCAGAGTTCCAAAATATTTATTACATCAGATAAATTCCTGGTACTTCCTACTCTGCCATCTTCTCAGAATCATCTTCTCTGTGATCTGTTTTAATTTTTGTGTATGGTATGAAGAAAGAGTACAAATTCTCCTTTTGGCATATGTATATCCAGCTGTTTCAGCACCATTTGTTGAAATAGTCCTGTTTCCTTAATGAAGTACCTTGACATGTTTTTTAAAAAAATTGATCATAAATGTGAATGAAGTCTTATGTTTAGACTCTTAATTATGTTCCAGTGATCTATAGGGCTATACTTATACATAAACACCATACTGTCCTTTTCATTATTTGCTGGGCACATAATAGGTATTCAGAATTTGAGTTAATTGGAATTGGCTAAACTTACTGAAGAATCAATGTTCTTACATTTGCCAAATTTGAGATTTTTTTTTTTTCTTTTGAGGTGTCAGAGGGAGGGTTATGGTTGATTTCTTTTTGCTTCTTTTTCCCATATTTTCTTATCAGGATATCTTTTGAAAAGTTCCATCCTGAGGGAAAAAAAATCGTATCTCACTAATCCCCTTTGTGATAGGCATTAGGCATGCTGTAGTGGTAACAGCTGTCAAAAAACAGGACGCTGGCTAGAACTTCAGTCCTTGGAGAAGTGAAATCCAGAAGCTGATTAGTTGCCATTATCATGGTATTCCTTCCATAGAAGCTCAACATTGTTTTAAGCACTGTATTTATTGTTTTAAAAAATGAAATCTTACCAGAATATACTAGAAGTCGTTTATGAAGTCGTAGGCTTAGTGATATATCTGTACCACTTGGCAATAGAATGACTAATGGACAAGTTATATAACTTTCCTGAGGTCACAATTACTTTGTGGGGAAAAATTATTGCTCTATCAACGTCTTATTGTATTAGTGAGATTCAGATGCAATATTTGTGGAAATGCTTTGCAAAATGTAAGGGACTCTACAAATATTTTAAATGTCATTTGTATATTATTAAGCACTAATAAACTTGTTTTTCTTTCAAACACTTTTTAAGATAATGAAGGGAAAAGGATAAGCAGGCATTGAACTGTTGGGTCATATGCTTACAAATACAATTGAAATGGGTTAAATTGGAAGTATTTTAGTTCAAGAACTCGGGACATAGGTGACTTCAGTGGGAGCGAGAGGAACACTTTCCTCACTCTGTCTTCATGATGGGAAATTGGAGAGGACATGCTACTTGTATTGGAGAAAATGTAGGATTTCTTATTTTATGTAATTGAGTAGCATGTGATAAAATCTTATCTCCCTTTCATTGGTGTGTGGGATTTATGTAAAAATTATTTTTTAAATATAGTGTAAAAAGTTGAGCATTACAAAGCTATAGTAATCAAGGCGTGTAATCAAGGTGTGGCACAAGGGTAGACATACAGATTGGCAGAATTGCATTACAACTCCAGAAAGAAACCCTTACATTTGTGTTCATTTGATTCTGGACAAGGGTGCCAAGACAATTCAATGGGGAAATAATTATCTTCTTAACAAATAATGCTATAAATCCAAACATAGAAGAATGAATTTGGGCCCCTTCTTTGCAACATACACACAGAAAAAGCTCAAAGTAGATTACAGACCTAAATATAAGAGCTAAAATTATAAAACTCTTAGAAGAAAATATAGGAGTCAATCTTTGTGACCTTCATCAAAATTAAAATCTTTTGTGATACAAAGGACACCATCAAGAATGTGAAAAGACAACCCATGGAATGGGAGAAAGTATTTGCAAATCATATAGTTGATAACACATTCGATAGAATATATAGAGACATTTGGTAGAATAAATAAATCTTAAAACTCAAAAATAAAAAGCAACCCAATTAAAAAGTGGGCAAAGGATCTGAGCAGACATTTTTCAAAGAAGATCTGTAAATATCCAATATGCACATGAAAAGATAGTACCATTAGCCATCAGGAGATACAACTCAAGACCACAATGAGATACCACTTCACACCTACTCAAGGGGCTATAATAATAAAAGACAATAATAAATGAGTGTTGGTGAGAATATGGAGAAATTAGAACCCTCATACACTGTTGATGGGATTGTAAAATGTGGCTGTTTTGGAAAACTATCTGACATTCTTCAAAAGGTTAAACATAAGAGTAACCATATGTCCCAGCAGTTCTACCTCTAGGTGTATACACTCAAAAGAATTGAAAACATATCCACACAAAAAACTTGTGCATGAATGGTTATAGCAGCATTGTTCATAATAGCCAAAATATAGAAACCCAAAATGTCCCATCAACTGATGGAGAAATTAAATGTGGTGTATCCACTGATGAGATATTATTTGGCAATCAGGAATGAAGAAAATGTTATATGTACACTATATAAATGAAGAGCATGCATGCTATAATATGGATGAACCTTGAAAAAAATTTTCTAAGTGAAAGAAACCAGTCACAAAAGACCACATATGGTCTGATTCCATTTATATCAAATGTCCAGAATAGGCAAATCTGTATAGAAAGAAAGTAGATTAGTGTTATTGGAGGGACAACTGAGGAGAGGTATTAAGAAGAAATGGGGAGTTACTGCTAATAGGTTCAGTTTCTTTTGGGGGTGATGAAACTCTTACAGAATTGATTGTAGTTATGGTTGTACAACTCTCTGAATATATTAAAAAATATTGAATATATGCACATTAAATGGGGGAATTGTGTAGTATATGGATTTTAAAATTTAAGTCAGGGAACACCAAACAAAATATGAAGAGAAGGACATTTACAAATTGTTTATAAACAATTCTCTATTGTTTATTTTCTGGAGATGAAGAAGAAACTGATTGTCTCCTAGTTAAAAAAATGAATTTTTCTTTCATTCTCTATCCTTCTAATGGCTGACTAGGTTTACTTAAATGCATACACTTTTGTGTTGATAGTAAATCATAATTCATTTTTGGCAGGAATTGAGTTCTTCTCAGACTTTATCACATGGTGGAGGATTCTTCAATAGACTGGAAGATGATGTTCATAAAATTCTTATTAGAGAAAAAAGAAGAGAACAGCTTACAGAATATAATGGAACAGATAATTGTGCAGCTCATGAAAACAACCAGGCATGTAAAATAGAATAATTCTCTTACAGTCACAATGAAGTTAAAATGCAGTTTCTCTTTTTGAAAAAAAGTAAGCCATGGAATCCAGTATGATTATATAAAGTTACAGTTTTGAGATATTACCACGTATAGATATTTGTATTTAAAAATATGAGATACTTCATTGGTGAATATTAATTGAGCATGTGCTGTATACTAGGTACTGTTAGGCACTGGTGTAGGGCAGTGGGAATACCAAGATGGATAAGACCATCCTTCCCTTAGAGTAATGGGGAGAGGAAGAGGTGGACCTATAAAGAGGATATCATTAAGCATGATGAAGGCTTTAAGAGAGGTATGAACAATAAAGAGATTTTGAATAGAAAAGGTAATAGATCACTACTTGGGTGAATTGTGAAAGGTATATAAAGTGACATTTGGGATGAATTTTGAGTGATAAATAACTATAAGCTAAGCAATGGAGAAAGCCTAAAGGAGCTGCAAGAACAAAGGCCCAGAGCCATGACAGGCCTTAGATTGAATATTCAGGAAACAGAAAAATTCTGCATCTAAGACATATAGAGTCAAGTGAGTGTGGGATAACATGACTAGAGAAATTATAATCATGGATTTAGATTATAAGGATCCTTTGATGTGAAACTAAGAATTTTTATCCTGTATACTAGGGGTTGCAAGCTATGGCCAACAAGTTAAATCTGTACAGTCCAAGCAACCATGTTAACATTTATGGTTAACGTACTTGCTTCCTTTTTTCATTGACTATCATTCCCCTTTGTGGTCCATATCATCTTATTTTTTTAAGCCATCTCAGATCATTCTTGGATGGAAAAAGTGATACTTTTTCAGTGAGTAAGTGTCTCAAACCCTTTGTAGACCCAAGTTGTGTATATCTAAGTTTAAAATGATTAAGATTAATGATCTAAATAAGACCAAAGTGATAGTGCTGTATAGTAGAAAGAGAAGTCTGAAATCAAACCTAATCCAAAATATAGCTTCTGCATCTTATCATCTGTGTTGCATTGGGATGAAGTCAACCAATTTTCATGTATTATTATTAGGGAAATTAGCAACTATGATTTAAAATGTTTATCAGAACATGTTGTACACAGTATGCATTTAATAGATAATTGCTTTTATACAAGGTAGAAAATGGTTAAGTCAAAAAAAGGATATATTGATAAAGTACCATAGTAATTCACAAGAGTGGAGATCAATGATAGCTTTCCTAGGAGAAAATAGCTTTTGAATTAGAATTTAAAGGAAGGTGGAATTTGAACATGTAGAGGTGTGAGGGAGAAGAAACTGGAATATTATGAAAAAAAATATGTAGGCAGCAAAGAATAAACCAGTTAAAATTAAATGAAAGGATCATAGAGGAGCATAGTATAAGTTTGACAAGATAGGTTGAATACTATTGTGGAGGAGCTAAAGGCCTTTATGATTTAGTCAGTAGATAGTAAAGAATTTTTAAAAGTGTTTTGAGCAAAGTACAAAGTTTTAAATGGTAATACTAATTTCAACTTCAGTGCCTAGGAAAAATGAAGGTGAAGACAAGTGATAGGAATTAGACAGTACTCAGCATTGTTAAGGATATGGAACAATAGCATACTACTAGTGGTTGTGGAAATCGGTATAATAATTTTGGAAAAAACAATTTGGCATTAGCTTTTTGAGTTTAAGATGATGGGTAAGACCATATGTTCTAGAAATTCTGTGCTGGATTAGAACCCAGAGAAATGAATGAGGTACAGCTATACATAAAAAGATGGATGAATACCAAAACATCCTGTTTAATGATGTTTAATGTCTTTTGAATCAAGTACAGTGTCCTTGACCTAACAGTTAAAATCCATAAGCTGGCCTTTTCAACCTGAAAGTGTGAAGCCATTAGCCAGACCTGAAATCAATTTAGTAGATTGCTACTAGCACTCAAAACAAACAAAAAAAGTATATGACATCTTATTAATATTTTATGAAATTTGTTTCTGTATGTATATGTATGCACATACAACATACACACATGCACATACACTGACATTTATGTGTATTCTAGGTCATGATATAAAATATTAATGTGGGTCACTGTCAAGTTTGAAAACATTGTTCTACTGTGTAGCTTCAACCTAAATTAACTTCAGCTGAATTTGCTCCTAGATATATTTTTTTTCTCCTAGCTGGAGCAGAGCATTCCTATCACTTTTTTCTTTTTTTTCCTCAAGATTCAGTTCACCTGCCATCTTTTCCAGACGCTTTCTCCCACTGCCCCACCCCAACCCCACAGACCAAAATCAGAAAATCTGGATATGATCTTTCCTTCTTTTTCTGCACCCCATAGCATTTTTTTTTATGGCACATTTCACAGCACATTTTTATTATCATTCTTCAGAGATTGCAAGTCTCTTATGAACATGGACTTTATATTTTAACACATCCTTTCATCCTCATTTTAGTACATTATTTTCTACATAGAAGATAATTTTTAAGTTTATTTCTGAAATACAGGACTTGATAAAAATAATGTATATTAAAACAGTATCATTTTCTGTCTTAAAAAGTGATTGATGTTTTTTCAGAAGTTTTGGAAACTACTGATAAATAGAATGAATAAATGATAATGGCAAAAATAAATATATGAAGGCTCACTATTTGTTAGACACTCTATTAAGTACTTAAAATGATTATTTCATTTAATTCTCATAGTTAACTATGAAATTGATAGATATTAGCTTCAATTTTCAGGTGCAGTTAGAAAAAATAACTTTTAATCCCATTCAACCTGGAGAAAACTACTGATATTTTGTGATCTCACTTTTCTATGGATATGTACTTTTTCTCCCAATAACATAAAAACTATTATATTGATAACTTTTTAGTTAAATGCAGACAGTGAGCATTTCAGGTCATTCAGTAATAATTCTTATACATTACATAATTTAACTTTTAATAATTAAATTGCTTTCAGTTACCCACACTGAGAAAAAAATATTTTAAATGTAGTTTGTTGTAACACTTCTTTGCTTAATATTGAGACTGTATACTTTTCATGTTTATTGGTCATATGCCTGTTATATTTGTTGTGACTATTTTTTCATTTACCTTTTGATTTTGTTACAGTACTTTTGGAGATTTTTTCCACCAAGTTTAATCTGTCAATCTTTCCTTTGAGTTTTCTCCCTTTGGTATTATGTGCAAAAGGGCTTATTTACTCAAAGATCATAGATATTCATATTGATCTAGATTTTATTTTAACATTTTTTTCAGGATTATAATAGTATTTTATCTTATTCAGTGATATGCGCAGTATAAAACAATTTTGGTAAAAGGAAATTTTTAAACAATAAAGAAATCTTCCATAATTCAGGTCCTAAGAGAGTTACTAAAATTTTGGTGTATGTCCTTCCAGAATTTTTCTTTTGCATATGATATCACAATTTGGGGATCATGTGAATATATGTTATAGTCTGTATCATTATTTTTAGTTACTTCAGTTTTCTGTTTTGTAGTTTACCATATATTTAGTCTGTATTCCTACTGTTGGTCATTTAAATTGATGTCCAATTTTTTGTTTAATAAACCTGCAGTGAACATTCAGATTCTTCCCCCCTAAATTATCTGTTTCAGATAAACTCCTAGAAGTGAAAATCATAGCTTTATTAGTTATTTTTCTAATTTAGATCTACTTACCTGTTCCTTAAACTGGAAACATGGATTGAAGTGTGCATCTTCCTCACTTGCCACATTCAGTCCCTCATCAAATACTGTTGATTCTGCTTCCAAATAATTTCTCATATGATACTCTTCCCTCCACTTAAGCCACTTCCACCCTAATCCAGGGAATAATCTTTGACGTGGGTTTACAGTAGCAATTAAAGGGTCTTTCAGCCTTTCTTTCCCCACTCTAATCCATTTTCCACACAGCTGCCAAAGTGATCTTATAAAAACATAAATTTACCATAAATGTAAATCTAATACTCTGCTCAGAATCCTTCACTGCTTTCTGTTTTATTCAGAATAATATGCAGAGTGTTCTTACGGTCTGCAAGACCTTTCATGATTAGGCATCTACCTGTTTTTCCAGAATCATCTTGTACTATCTTCTTACGAAGCTCCAACCACTCTTGGCATTGGCCTCTTTTTTCCTTCAAATTTTCTAAGCTCTGTCCTGCCTCAGGGCCTTTAGACATACTGTTCCTTCTATGTGGAAAGCTTGTACCTGCACTGGTTACCTAACCAGTGTTTATTCATCCCTCGAGGTTCATCTTAAGTGCCACTACCTCAAAGAGAGCTTCACTGATCCACTCATCCACATTATTCCCTTTATAGCACTTTGCTTCTTTGAGTTTAAGCCTTGGTTTCTAATTGCAGCATGTATGTTACATCTGCCCTCTCCACCAGATGAATCCTGCAAAGGAAGAATCTTTTCACTTCTTTTCACCATTGTACACTCAGCACCTAGCAGTTAGGTGCTCAGTAAGTATTTTCAGAATAAGTTAATGTTGCTGCATTACTCATTAGATAAATAGAACCAATTTATACTCTTAACAAACGTATGACTTTGGGTTTGATTTTTACATTTAAATTTATTTGGTATATGGTACAAAATGCAGGGATTTAACTTCATTTTTTTCAGTTAGTCATTTGTCTTGTAACCTACCATTCTGTAATTCAGTCTTTTCTCACTTCTTTAAAATGCTGTGTTTATATTACAATAAATTCTTATGTCTTAAGTCTCTTCTGGACTTTCTTTTCTGGTACATTGCTCTGTCAACCTAGGTGCCATGACCACACTACTTTAGTTATTTTTACAGTATAGTATACAATTACTTGATAGGCAAATTCTTCATCATGTTAACTTTTTATTAGTTTCTGTTTTGTGTTCTCCCAGATGAAGTTTTGACTATTTTGCTAAAGTTCCAAAGAACAAAACCCTATTGGAATTTCAATTGAAATTTTATTAAGTTTACAAAGTAATACTCTTTCCATCTACAAACATATTTTGTTCTGTGTCCTTTTCAGTATTTTCTAACTTTCTTTATGGATCCTGAAAATGTCTGAATTTTTGCTACTGGGAGGAAATGGTTTTTCTAGTTATATCTTTGACCTGCTAATTACTGACACAGAGAAAAGCTATTTACCTTTGTTTTCTGTTACTTCATATATTTTTGCATAAGTTTTTAATTCTTGTGGGTTTTAATAATAGCAACAACTTGTCACAGAGTATTTTTAATATGTTTTTTCTAGTATAGAAGTAATTATTACAAGACCCTGGTATTTTTCTATGTTATTTTTGTAATTGAGATTTATTATAAGTATCTTATTTGCTTGCACTGTATGTAATTACAATTAAATAATTGAGTAGAAGGAGAAATGTAGTCAACAGTTTAAGGTTGCTTTAGGATTTAATTAAAATCAGGAAAATTGGGATTTTTCCTCTTAAATTTTTCACAAAGGAATATTGTAAACCAGACTTGGCAGAACTATCTAGGTTCTAAATAGTGTTTTTATCTTTTCAGGAAGTAGTTCTGAAGGATGGAAGAATTGAAAGACTAAAGTTGGAACTTGAAAGGAAAGATGCTGAAATCCAGAAGATGAAAAATGTCATCACTCAATGGGAGGTTTGTATTTATTTGCTATTATAAACTAAAACAATTCTAAAATTTGCATATTTTCTCTTTTCTTGAATGTAAGTATATTTTATATTTGATAGAAATACTTCTATTTAGGTTTTTAAAGCTTATTAATGATAATACTTATTTTTTTATCATGGTAAAATACATATAACATTAAATTTGCCATTTTAACCATTTTTCAGTGTACAATTTAGTGGTAGTAAGTTCCTTCACAATGTATAGCATCACCACTGTCTGTTTGCATAACTTTTTCATCATTCCAAACAAACACTGTACCCATTAAGCAACTCCCTATTTTCCCTTCCCCTGCAGTCCCTGGTAAACCTGTAATCTCTCTGAGTTCCCTTTTTCTAGATACTTCATGTAAGCGGAGTCATACAATATTTGTCCTTGTGTGTCTGGCTTATTTCACTTAAAACATGTAATGTTTTCAGGGTTCATGTATGTTGTATATATCAGAAGTTCATTCCTTTTTTATGGCTGAATAATATTCTGTTGTATGTGTATATGCCATCTTTTATTTATCTGTTCATCTGTTTATGACACTTGCGGTGTTTTCCACCTTTCAGCTACTGTGAGTAATGTTTCTATGAATATTGCAAGTATGCTATGAACAGTTCAAGTATCTTGAGTTCCTGCTTTCAATTCTTTTGGGTATATAACCTAAGAGTGGATTGCTGGATCATATGGTAATTCTATATTTAACTTTTTAAGGAATCACTGAACTATTTTCGAGTTTCCTGCAGCTGTACTATTTTACATTCCCATCAGCAGTGCCTAAGGGTTCTAATTTGTCCATATCCTCACCAACACATGCAATTTATACAAGTTATTTCAACCACAAATCTACTTTTTGCTCTCTTAATTCCTCCCTTAGGCTTTATAAAAACCTCTTTTTCATCTCAAGTGTCATTCTTTTTTGACTAATATTTATTCACACAACAGTTATTTATTTCATGCCTATAATGTGCCAGGTACTTTTCTGGGCCCTGAAAATGTAATAGTAAAAAATTGTAAGTTGGGTTCAGCCCTGATGGTTCTTACATTTCCCTTCCTCCTGTACTTAAGCCTTTAAAGATCATTCCCACTAAGCCTTTTTTGGATTACACTTTGCTTTTGTTGGGCATTTAGCATATGTTAGGCACAGGAATACAAAGATGATTTAGCAAGAATCTCGTAGTCTAATGGGAAAGATAAATACGTAAATAATTACAGCACAATGTAAAATTTATCATTGAGATTTGACAGAGTGCTCCAGAAGCATGGAGATAAGAGTGAATTAATTGCTGCTATTGAAAAATGGTAAAGATTTCACAGAAAAGATGATATTTTCAGGTAGAGAGAATCATGCAAAAGCATGGGAGTATAGGAAATACATTGTTGCTGACTTTCAGAGAAGGAAAGTTGTAGAAGGTGAAATTGGAGATGTTAATCAAGCTTAGAATTTGAAGGCCTTTGGATTTTAGAGGGAGTAAAGTCTTTAGAAGGGAAATGACATGAGAGTTGTTTTTGTATAATGATAATGTACATAGCTAAGGCCTGGAATGAAGATTGCCTGGCAAAACAATTAACAGGTATTAACAGGTAAAACAACAGGTAAGAGGAAGAGCACATTTTGAACTGGTTTAGGCAAAGGAACTAATTTAAGATCCCATTTTGTACATGTTGAGTTTGAAATAACTGTAGATGTAGGCAAACGTGTTCCAAATGCAGCTAGACACAGTGGAGTCACAACATATGTGCACTTACCAACTTCAGTGCTGTCTTTTTTATGAAATTAAAAACACTAGTAAAAACTGTGTATTTCATTTGTGCTCTTTACTGTAAGTTACATGGTACTAGTATTTTATATATTTATGTTTTTATAGATACATTTACTATTCAGGATTGTATGTAAGATTATGCTATTTTTATGAGTACTATAAAGAATTTTTGTGGGTAATTTTGCTTATTTGCAATTTTTGCTTTATGAGCTGACTTTAGACCGTAAGGCTGATAGGGGAGGTGCCTCCATGTCACTGATCTGGACCTTGGACAAAGGGTTGAGCTAGAGATAGAGTTTGGTGAGATATTAATTTTGTTTGAAGCCTTGAGAGTGAGAATTTCATAGTAGATATGGTTTCATATTCACAGTGGATATATTTCTATGTTCATAGGGAATATAGTTGTAGTTGACTGTATATGTTTTTCCTTTTAATATTTTTATTTCCATCTGACTTATCTCCCTCATTCATTTCTAGGCTTCTCAGAAGTCCTATTCCCTTTATATGTACTATGGTGCGTCTTCTGTTCATTGTACTGTCTGCAGTATTACTCAGTAACATTACTGATTTATTATCAGCAATTTACTGGATACAATATTTGGTGAAAGCCATATTTATTTGACTTAATTTAAAATACATTATATTTGGAGCAAAGCAGGTAGTCTTGAGTGATATGCTCCCAGACCAGGAAGCTGCTATCCTAGGAGGAAATCAAAGCAGTAAATTTCTTGTAAATAACCAGGAAGACTAATAAGAAACTTAATGTCTCTTCAAAGATAAACATTTTGGGACAACTTACCATGTGTGCATCCCTAGCCCTTTGTCTCTCAACTGCCTATAAAACCCCTAGACAACACACCACCCTGGGACACTCTTGTCCCCTCCTGGCCTGAGCCAGGAGCTCTGTCCTCTTGCTTTATCTCTAAATAAAAATCTCTGCCTTGCTCTCCTAAAAATAAATAAATAAATAGAATAGAATACATTAAATTTGTTTACAAGAAAGATTTTTGAATCTGGTAATTTCTGTACCTATTTATATACATGTTGAGAGAAGAAATGATAAGTGTTTTATACTGATCTGTTTTCTTTGAGTTTTGTTTTATATGTACTGTTTTTTCTAATGAATTAATGTATGAAACATTTATAAGTAATTCAGAGTGTGTTATATGTTAAATAAAGATAATATGGGGGGAAATTTCCCGTAATATGGATGTTAAGGTGAGAATGTAATTCCTCCTGTTCATAAGTGTATAATTGTGTCATTTAAGTGGTATGAGAAGAAGCTAGACCAATTGGAAAAAGAAGCTGAAAAAGAATTGAAAGATATTTCAGTGGATTACTAATTCATATCAGCCAAAAATGAACAATGTTTAGTTAATGAAATAATGAGATTATTAAAGTTTAAGGAGACAGAACTCTGCTATATAATTCAGTGATCACTACATGTATGTATCTAAAGTTAAATAAAATCAAACATGTATTTTCTCCAGGACCATTAAGTACATTTCCAGTAGTTAGTAGCTATGCAGATATAGAACAGATACAGAAAGTTCTAGTGTAGTAATGGACAGTCCTGGTGTAGAGCTATGAGTCATTTTTGTTTTAGTTTTCATCTATTTTGAATTACATAAGGGTTTTATTTGAGAAAAAAAGAGACACTTAAGGAAAATTTAGTATTATCCTGAGTTTTCTTTACTAATATCCCTCTATTTTTCAATAACCTACAATATTAATTTATATTATTTTAAGTAATAGTTCTGAATACATTTTCCTCCATTCTATTTCTTTCAAAAGTAATTTATGTCTTTGAGCAAGCCTAGATACCATAGTTCCATAAATTGATAGTAAATTATTAATTATATCATTTATTTAAAAAATTAAGTCTTTTTTCTTTGACCATTAGGCAAAGTATAAAGAAGTAAAGGCAAGAAATGCACAGTTACTGAAAATGCTTCAGGAAGGTGAAAGTAAGTGATTTGTATGTTTTTAGAATTTAAAGTTAATCTTTAAAAATATTTGAAGATAATTTTTCAGAATATATGATTTATTAACTCAACAAAATAAAAAGATTTCCCAGAGTGATACAAATTGGACTATTTCTGAAAATTTTATTATTAAAAGTTACTCTTATAGCACCTTAGTGTTAATACAAGTTTATAACTATTCAGGTAACTAAAATCATGAAATTTTCCTGAAATTAAGTAAAATCAATTCTTATAAATCATTGGACTACAGTAGCAGGAAAACAAGAACAGTGCTGAAGGTGCTGTTTTTTAACTGTTCGAGGAGAACGCCCATCATCATTTTAGGTTTTCCTCCTCTCGCTTCCCCACCACCTCATACTTTTGCTGCCACTGCAAACTTTTGGCTGTAGGTCGCCAGCAGGGAGCCAAGGAAATCAGTCAAAATTGATTAGAGATAATAAAATTAGTAAAGTTAATGTTAAATTGAAAACCTCCCACATCAGTTGCATTCCTGATTATGTATACCTCATGACACTTAGTGTTGAAAGTTCTATGAAAATTTTCCATTCATAATAGGAAAGGAAGTGTGTATTAACTTTTTAATATGAAGTTTATGCAGAAGAAATTATATAAACTATAAAAGACATAATGATAGACATGAATAAATGAGTAAATCTTCTGAATAGACAGAATTAAGTCAAATAAATAATTTTCCATGTTAATAAATATTACTAAAATCCAAAATATAGCTCCTGTGAGTAGTGGATAGTGCTTAAGAAATTGCAAAACTCATCTTGAAGAATAAGTAGGCAAGATAAAAATTGTTTCGAATATGAAGATATTGGGAGTAGAATTGTCTATCCAAAATTTAAACTATATTGTTAAAAAAGTTATAAAAACAATATGAGCAAAAACCAGAAATCATGTCTACTTAAACAAAATACACAGTCTTGAAGTAGATTCAGACTTTTTTTATAACTTTACTCTTTTTTTAAATAATGTGATTTAACTATTACATTGCTTTAACCACAGTGAAATAGAAGTTAAAGAATAATGTGGAAAGACATTGTTTGGACAATTAGATATTAACATCTTGAGATTAATTTAGAGCTGTGCATCTTACTGAGCTCCATGTGGATCATCTAATGAACAAAATTATTATAATAAAACAATTGTTTACAGGAAATTAAAGGCATCATCGAACATTGGATGCATGAGTTTTAAATATGTAAAAATGAAGTAATATTCCTTACTTAGGGAAACATTAGTGAAAAGTGAGAAAGTTAACTAATAAAAGCTTACTTTCAAAAATAGGTTATAAATGGCTACCAGTAAATAACTATCCATACACTCCATACTATAAACAACCCAAGCAGAAGAATTTTGTATGGGATTTATAAATTTCATTACATGAAAATTACAGTCCATTGAAGTATGCATGTGCTAGCATTTATAATGTAAATATAAATACAGTCAGTTCTGTTATAATGTAACACAGGTTCCTAAAAATCAGCAGCCACTGCAAAACCACACAGTTAAAACTACATGGTTTATGCAGGAAGTAAAATGAGGTCAGGAGTATTCAACATTCAAGAAACTTCATCAGTCACACATTAAGAAAAGATGGGAAATTAACGTGACCAGTAACACAGTTTTATATGTCAAAATGGTTGAACACGTAAGTACTACAAAAAATTTGGCACTTTACCTGGAAGACAACCTGAAGTATGCTTGTAGGAACAGCCTCTGAAAGGGTTGCGGCTTGTGTGTTACCATTAAATGATGGAGTGATGGAAAGTTGGTATGGTTCTTAACACACAGATAGTAGTAGTAGTTATTTGAGGTGTGTGCATGTGTGCACTTTTCATCGTTTATGAAATTGTGCGTAAGCAAATGCAGAATGTTCTATTCAGGTTGTCACTAATATGTCAGTTTCACTGAAACAACTTTGTGTTTTCATAAGCATTATAGGAAGATTGGCTATAATTGAAATACATAATTATTAAAAATCATTAGTTCTCAGTAAGTGTGTATAATTTTGGGGATGGAGGAGTAGAAAGTATAATTTATAAAAGTTCCCAAGTTGATTCTTGAGAGACTGATTTGTTTCTTGACACAGCATCTCTCCTTATTGCATATCATATTATAAACTATGAAAGTAAGTTTGACTTACAGTGCTATATTGGTAGAGTTGTGGTGATATCAGTACTCTTCTATATTTTAATATTCCCTCCTTTACTGATTAGTTTTACTGCAGTTTTACCACTTGCCTATCTCCTAGCTTGTTTTCAAAGTTAAGGAGTTAGCATTTCATGCATACCATGGGTTAACGAGGTTTTCAGCCATGTGGATATTTCTAAAGCTTAGGAACACAGGGCTCAAAATACTGACTGATCTCTTGCTTCCCCAAAAAAGGAACAAATGGCAAGTTCTAAGAGACCACAGATGTATATGATCAGTTATGATCATATGAGTTATATTTATTTAATAGTGCTTTATTGGTATGAAAAGTAAGATACAAATAATTTTAGGGGGCACTTATAACATGCTCACCTTGACAGTTTAACAAAACAAAAACATTCTACATTGTTTTAAAAAAATTAGTTAAGGCATTTAAAGTTTATTGCCTTTGAGAAGTATTTTATTTTGTTGTGCCTTTGTCCTCTTTAGTGTAGATGGAAAATTAATCTTTCATCATAGTTGTACAGTATATATATTAACACAACAGAAAATGTAAAAATTCCCCCCAAAACTGGTGATAATGATGATCAGAATTTACCAGTGAAAAATAAGAACTATATAGAGTCTAGAAATATATTGATTCAGTGTAAGAACAATTAATTTTTGCCTGACTGCACTGCTGTCTTGGTCCCCAAACTATTGTTAAACTGTTTAATTGAAAAGGTTATACTGCTGTTTTTCCTTTTTTGTCAGTGAAAGATAAAGCAGAAATACTTCTACAAGTTGATGAATCACAAAGTATCAAGAATGAGCTAACTATTCAGGTAAGAAAGACTGTAGAATATACAGGACTGGTTTTCTTAGGCTATTCCTCAGTCCTGAATTACGAAACTTGACTAAACAAAAATACAACTGATCAACACTACAAGAACATGATATAAATTCTTCATTATTCTTATGTAATAGCAAACAAGTGAAGAACGTGTTTACGATGCTGAGGGAGACAGGTACGTCCTGAAGAACAGGGGAATATAAGATTGTATTTAGTTGATGGTAACTATGAATATAGAGATAGAAGGACAAGTAAAACTTATCCTGTTTTCTCCTTCCCATCTTTACTTGTAGAACAGTGAGCCCGTCCTATCTATCTTTAATATACAGCTGAGTAAAATTCCTAATCAAAATTGTGTGTGTGTGATTCTTTGATGCTCATTCATTCAGTAGTAAAAATCATCATTGTGAATAAGTATTAGGAATTGAGAGTATTTGCCTAAAAAGACCAAAAAAGTCTTTAAATTGAATATTTGGTTATAGGTGACTTCACTTCATGCTGCATTAGAGCAAGAAAGATCTAAAGTGAAAGTATTACAAGCAGAATTAGCCAAGTACCAGGTATGCTTTTATAATTTTGAAAATGTTTTCATCACAAATAGTATATTTTGAATAGAGACAATGTGAGAATAAATGCACTATTTTATTCTTAAGCCAAAATGTACTCACCAGACATACTAATAAATTTGTTATTGTTGGTCATATAATTTAGAAAATATTAAAGATATTCTATATGTTGGCATAACAGCAATAATTTTAAAGTAATTCAAAAACACCTAAGTACTACATAGATGACGTGGTATATGTGCCTGGGCACCATATTAAAGGAAGGCACATAATGACATTTGTTCCATTTTTTAATCTTGATCACTTGGGTACAGCAGCATCTTCTAATATCACCATTATAAATATATCTTTTCCCCTTTTTAATTAATAAATAATATGTGAAGTGAAACTTTGAGACTGTATAAATATCCTTTTCTTTTTACCCAATGGTTTTAGTATCCATTGATATTTGTATCAGTTACTATTTTGATGGTTGCAAAATAGTGATTTTTCTAATTCTATCATTTCTTCTGTATTTGCAAGATGGCATTCAGCATTTTTTTCCTGGATTAAGCAGTAAAATATATCAGTGCATTGTTGCAGTATGTGTGTATATGTATATGTGTGTATACACACACACATATATTTGTATGTACGTACATTGTCTAAGTCATGATATAAAATGCATTGATTAATGTGGAGCCATAGTCAAAAACTTTGAAAGCCACCACTGGTGGCCTAGAGAACATAAAAGTTGTTTTGTCCCAGTTTTGACTTCTCATCAGTCCAAAAAGAATTCCTTTTGCCTGGGAGGCTTTGAAAAGGATCCTTGAATTAATTTGTGTGTGTACATGTGTATTTGTTTTAATCTTACTGAAAAAACAAGGGAGGAGTTCTAACTATATAACATTGGAACCTATGTGTTGTGGGTATTTACCTTGTGGAAAATTTTTAGTAAATACTTTTATTTTCCTACTATCAGGAAATCTTGTTTTTAATATGTGTCATTAACACATGTTAGGACACACATAGCCGCCTCATACATTTTTCTCTGAATGAATCTTTGCAAAACTTTTATTTGGTCAGGAATTAGTAACAGCATTCTTAGACTTTTTTTTTTAAAAAAGAAAGAAGGTTGATGTAGAAATGTTTTTGATCACCAAGAGGGAAGTTAAAGGCAGAAGAAGGATGAAAGAAACAAAGTCAAGCTGCCAATATTATTAAATGGGTCTGGGTTTCATGTGTCCCTGATATAACCACACTTCAAGAGATGTACTTCTGCAGACAAGAACTAATTCCAAAACTTGGCTGAAAATCATAATTACTTGGGAACTTTTTGAGTTATAGATTGTTCAGCCCACTCCTGGTAATTGTAAATAAATATGTCTAGGACAAAGTCTAGACATCAGAATTTTAAAAATATTACCACCTAGGTGATTCTAATGATCAGTTAAATCATTGCCATAGTTTAGAAAAATGGAGGAAAAAATCTATAAGATTATAAATACATCAAACCATTATTTATGGTTAAAATGGGGGGTAGAGAGTTACAGATGATTTTAATTTTCTTCTTTGTACCATTGCACTTTCCATATTTCTAAAATAAGTATTTGCTTTTTTAAATTAGAGTAAGGCAGAAAATGTTATATTAAAAGTAATTAATGTAAAATACTTATCTTTTAAACTGCCTTTCTTTTTATTTGGCATAAGTCAAATACCATAGATGAAGTTTCACTTGGAGCAAACTAAATACAGATTAAAAATATCACTGAGAAATATGAAATTATACCCTACTTTTAAACCCACTAATGAATAAAATCATATTTCTAATGCTAATATGAACAAGGCTAGACAGAACTTGAATTAGTAATTGAATTACCCAAAAGGGTAATGAACTAAAATTGCTGATCATATGGAGCAAAATGTTAATTTTAGTATTGATCAAAATCTTTATTTTTTAAAATTCTGGGACAATCCAAATGAACTCAAAAAAATAATGGTGATCTTACTATGGCTAGACTGTTCAAATAGAAGTAACTGCTTCCTACAAGCTACTTTAACCATTTGTAAAAATAATTTAGTGTATGTACATACAAATTTGCAACAAACTCAAAAAAGATACTACTTCCTTCTCATACCCCAATGGTCTCATTTATTCTTAAAATGAAAATGTCCACCAAATGGTATTTCCTAAATAATTTGCCCTATTTTTTTTTTTTTCTTTTTGCAGGGTGGCAGAAAAGGGAAAAGAAACTCTGAATCTGACCAGTGTAGGTGATTCCATTAGCCTTTGAGGTCAACAACTAAAATTAAAACTTTCAGGGTTTTGGAAAAATGTATATATTTAATGCTGTGCAACTGCTAAACTATGCAGTTTTTGTTGAAGAAACTTAAAATGATTAGCTCACTAACAGTCTATAATTTTATGTCCTTTTGGCTTAAAGTGAAAAGAAGAAAAATTGAATTCCAGCAGAACTCAATTTGTTGTTTACTATCCATACTTCTTTTCACTTTAGTTTTTCATCAGTCAATAAAGTTAATTTACTCTTCCATTAATATGTTTGATTTTTAAAATTTAAGAAACAATGTTGTGAAAGTATTATTTCTGTTTATAGCATAATCAGTTAATTGGATCATGTAAGTTCAGTTCAGTGCACATTTACTCAGCACTTCCTGCATGTTAGACCCTATAGGACACACAAGATGACCAAAAAATGGTTTATATCCTCAAGTAGCTTATACTCAGGGGAAGTAGAAGGTGGGGTTAGTAAAGACAGCAGCAGAAATAATTACCATGCATATTAGAGTGTGATTATCACATTGTTTGGAAGTTGAGAAAACTTGTATGAGATATTTTTGGAGAGTAGATATCTTTTCAATAAATTTGTTGAGAGGTATTCCAGGCAGAAGGAGCAAAAGTTGAGGCTGAAATGTTTAAAGAATAGTCTGGCTTGAGGACAAAAACATGACACAGAAATAGAATAGAAAGTTTTGATGTTGGGGAGGAATGAGTGAGATTTTTAATTGGTATAATCAATTACTAGAATAATTAGTAGTTTATGGGATTGGTTTTTTTAGTGTATTCAGTGAAATACAAATATGATTCATTAAAATACAGAGTGCTTTGGTTTATAACAACGATGGACACATAAATAGCTAATCTTGGCCTCCAAAAGAGGCATTACATGAAAGATTCTACTTGACAGTCTTTGAAGAAAAAATACTTAATGTAATAATGTTTATGTCTGGCTCCTTCCATGAGGTTTCCTGAACCTTGGAAAGAATTGTGAGTTATTATTCCCTATGTTCCCAGCACTTAGTCCTCTATGTAGAACAGAGTAGATGCTAACGAATTACTTGTTTAATTAAAGGGATAAAGCTTTTTAGATAGTTTTCCTCTAATTTTACCTTTGATTAATAATAGGTACCTTCAGAACCGAATCAGTTTATTAAATATATATGGTAATATTTTTCAACCCCATGATAAACAAAATCAAAATTTTAGTGCTGTCTTATATGAACAAGCTAGATAAAACTTGAGTAGTTTCAATTATAATTGAATTACTCAAGTAGTTTACTGAATTGAATTACCAAAACACACTGTATTATCATCTGCTTTTGATTATCTACCTTTACATTATTCATTTGGTATGTTATTAGAGTCTAGCACAGTGCCTGATGCATGGTAAACCCTCAACAGATACACCATTTTCTACTAGCATATATACGTTTCAGATTTCCTGGGCACATACCAAGTTTCTTTGATCATCCTCTTTTTGTGTTGGGTATTCTCTGGAAGATGGTTTTCATATCTCTGTTTCTCCCCATGAATTATTTTTCCTTGATTGATGTGTCCACTCCCATGGCTTAATCTATCACTTCTAGACCAATATCTCAGTTTCAACAGGGACAGCTTTATCTAGTAAGAGATAGAAAAGACAATCAGTGATCAGTTGATAATTCCTTCTGTTAAATTGATTTCTCAGACATTCTCTTTAAAAATCATTACTTCAATTATTTTCTGTTTCCTGAATGTTCAATAAATTGATAGCTTACTACGTGCCAGACATTATGCTAAGTACTAGAGATACAAATATATCCACAGTGAATTGGAAGAAAATAGAAATGTAAAGAAATATTCAGACTATTCCAATAAATAATAATACTGATATATTCAAATTGCTATTGGAATACAGAGGAAAATACATGTTACTATTTTAAAGGAGTATCTTGGAGAATTGATTTTATTCCAAACTCCATATATATAATGTTGTACTTAAGTATTATGGCAATATAGCCAGTTAATTAAATTCATCAAATATTTTTACATCTCTGATGGGATTTTTGACATTTCCTATAGTGTGTTAGTAAAACCAGAGGAACTAGAGCTATATTCAAGTCCCATTTCTATTACTTATTAGTTGTATGATCTTGGCTAATAATAAGTATTCAATAAGTGATTGAACAGAGTAAAACTGGGTATTTAGTGAGAATAGCTAGTAAAAGCATTGGGTAAACAACTCTGTAAGATGCAGTTTCTACCTCCAAATTATTGTCAACCTAATGGGAATAAAAGAGCTTAGCACATAAGTAACTAAAATTTAAAATAGAATACAGTGGATTCCATAACAATTTTATGGAAGTAAGAAGATATATTTCTTGAGGAAAGTCAGATGTTCCTTAAAGAAGAAATAAGCTTTTTAGTTGGTTCCTAAAGCATAGGCAGATTTTCCACAGAGCTTTAAAGGGTAAAGGACATTTAATGGAAAAAAGAAATAAAAAATAGGGAAGGAGGAGAAGCAGTGTATGTGTTTAGGGAACAGAAAGATAGCAAAGAATGTGTTGAATAATCTGTCTCATTTGGCCTGGAGCATAGGAGCATAATGCGACAACCCGCAATGTTGTTTGGGGATAGCTGTGATCCATCCTAAATTCCAGATTAAGAAGTGTATACGTCCTTTGATAGGCATTGGGAAACCATTAAAAGTTTATGAACAAAGGAATGACATAACCAAAGTTGTCCTTTAGGAAGACTCAAATGGTAGTGATGTCATGGAACATTATGGAAGAAATTAATTCAGAAGAGAATGTCAAGGAAGTTTTTACAGTAGTAGAAACAGGAGACAATGAGGATCTGAGCTCAGGAGGTGGCAGTGGAATTCAGAAAATGGAGTAAGAAAACAGTCCAGGCTGGAATCTAACAAATGTGTAGAGTGACAAAAAGAACAAGGGCATTAGAGATGAAAACAAGATATGAAGCATAAATGAGAGTGTGAATGATAGATAGTGCCATTTGTAGGGTAGACTGATGGAGGAATTTGTGTGGGGGAGATGGCAGAATCAACTTTTGGCTTGTGAAAGTGGACTTGCCCATAGAGCATCTAAAAGTAGAGTCCATCAAGTTGAAAATAAAGATCTGGTCTTCTGAGGTAGGGGTGGAGTTACAGATTTGGGATCTGTTTGCAATTAAATTGTATGAATAGTTGACATACCCAAAGGGACAAGTTTTTGATAAATATTGCTGAGGACAGATTTGGGGAGTTGTAGGAAACAAAAAGGACAGTCAGAAGGTGGGAGGCATGGTTATGAAGGTTGCAGAGAGGACTTGGGTTATGAGCCCAAGGAAAAATGACTAGATTTAGCAGCCAAAAGATACATTGATAATCTTCAGAATAGCTTCTTCAGTGACACAGAATAAGTCATTGAGGTAAAAATTAAGCTTTTTAGCACCTTGGGCAGTTAAAGAAAGGGCCCCTTTGGTGCCTGGATGGGGTTACAGGGTTGAGTGAGGGTTGGTTTGTTTTTATTGAGAACTGAGGAGACCTTTATGATATTCAGGAGCATAAAGAAGCCAGCCGAGAAAACAGAGATTGGGTAGGGGGAGGGGGTTAGGAATGAGGAATCCACGTTGGAGCCTACCAACTAGGTATTTAGATTATATAATTTGGTTGCCTTACCAAATCAACCTTCCCTAATTTGTTGTTTAATTCTAAATTAATCTGTCCTCTGTTAATGGAGAGTTATAGCCTTTACCATGTAATAATTTAAGAATATTTAAGGATTTAAGAAAAATATAAAATGATCTCATAACACAGACATTAGTAAACTTCCATGATTTAGCTATTATATATACATTATGAGAAGGAAAAATTCTTGGAACAGACAAGATGGTAAGTAAAAGATAGTCTAAGATCCTCCAAAATCTGTAAATCATTGAGGAACGGGCCTGAGGTAAATGTTTAATTAAATTAAAAAACATTATTCATTGAAGTCAACACCTCTTGCTAGTGTGGTTGTGAGGTGGTACTGTCTATGTACTGTTAGTGGCCTTGACCTTTGGCTTCTGCATTTTGGAAAAGCATTATGATGGTATGTTTCAGGAGCCAGAAAAATGTTTATATCTACTAATTCCCAATATTGGACAATTTAGCTACGAAAATAATTTGAGAGAAGAACAAAGTTTAAAAGATCTGTAGAGGTGAACAGGAAGTATAGTAGGGAGCCACGAAGCGACCCAAATATTCAATGTCTGACCAAACATCTAATTTGAATAACTACTTAGTACAACACATTAATGGGAATTATTGTTATACAGCCTTTAAACATGTAAAATTAGGACAACTGTGTAAAGCCATGGAATATTTTGAACAAAGCTTAAATATAAAAACAAAATACTAACTTGTACACTGATCATAGCTGTGTGAAAATGTGTGTGCACATGGACAAGCTAGAAAGCAGAAATTCCAGAATAAAACTGCTTGTTTTGGATAGGGGGTTTATGGTGAATTATGGATTAATTGTTTTTTCCCCCAAATTTTAAAGTACTGTTTTTTGTAATTAAAAGAAAAAGGAAAAATATAACTTGGATTTGTGTTAAGTAATTTGCTGTTATGGAATTAGTTTGTATTAATTTACTCATCTTACTGACATGTTCAGCTGAATTGTAGTAATTATTACGGGACATCTCCTGGACATAGAAGTTTTTGTTTTGCTTTTTAATCCAGAACCCTTCATTATAATAGCATTGAACCAGGGAAGGTAGCATCATGAATCAAAACGTGTGGCTGCAAAGTTTTAATCAACCAGCTTGTGTTTTCCTTGTTTTACTTCACATTTAAAAATCTTTAGAACTTCACAAGTTTTACTGCCATTAGCCATGTCATATTCTGGTGACACCTATTCAGAATTACTTATTTAATACTCATATTTACAAAACTAAAATGTGAATTATTTTATAAATGTTGTTAAGTACAATAATGCTTCCCATTGTGAATTTGTTAAGGGAGAGATAATTTTCTTCTCAATACCTTGATACATATAATGGGTACTGATTGTACCATCTTATATAAAACTAGTTTTTTAAAACAACTTTATTGAGATACAACTGCATATAATATATGGAATAGGTAAAAGTGCTGTGATTTCAGTCCTTTGAAATTTGTTAAGATTTGCTTTGTGCACCAATATCTACCTATTAAATGTTGTATGTGGGCTTTTTAAAAGAATATGTATTCTGTAGTAGTTGGGTGCAGTACTCTATATATGTCCAATA